GGTAATATGATGATGAGAAAAATCAACCCTGTAAAGATTCTTAGTGTTAAACCATCCTTCAAAAATTAACTGAGTCACTTGTCTATGTATCAGTTAGAAGGAAATTAACTAGTGAGGCAGACAAAATACTGAATGATAAGACAGTGAAAGGGTTGACAAAAATTAAATAAGGACTGCAGAGGAGATTGAATGAATTATTTGCAACTGTCTTTTCAGGAAGAAAGAAGAATAAGGCAAATATTGACATGATCCAAAACCTAGATTTTACTGACAAACTGAAGACAATCACTAAGTCCACATAAGAGTCATCTATACGATCTTCAAAAATGTGAATGTAAAATTTTGAACTTTTAAATAAAAACAGGTAACATACCCTTCTTTATATTGGAAAACTGGAAAGTAGACTAGATCAGCGGTCGCTAACCGGTGGGCCGCGGCCCACCGGTGGGCCATGAGAAAATTTTGGTGGGCCGCAAAGAAATCTCACCCCCAGAGCACCCTCCAAAGCAATTAATCCAGGCTGTGCAGAAACACAAGGCTGCGCCGCCCACATGGCCCTCAAGAACCCTCCCCGCCCACTCCTTACCCAGTAAACTTTCCTGCTAAATTTCTATTTTTCCTTTTTCCAACCATCATTTGTTCTGCTGTGCTGGGAGATTTAGATTAGCTAGGAAGCAGGAAATGGTTGGATTTCTTGCTTTCTAGCTAGTCTTTAGATCTTCGGCTCTGCTTTTAAGTACAGCCGAATCTTAGGACTGAAGGTTTGCTTGCAAGCAAATTCAGTGCAGACTCACGGCAAGCAAATTTGAGAGACTGAGCTAGCTGATGGCAGATAGATAGATCACTCAATGATTCTGTGAGCAACTCAATCTGCCTGCTTTGCCTGATTTGGGGTAAAAGTTGCTCTTTTTTATTAAAAAAATCAATATTTACATACATGGTGTGTTGTGAGTTAATTTTGTGAATTTGCTTGCAAGCAAATTTTATGTGACAGACCGAGCTAGCCAATGGCAGATAGATAGATCACTGAATGAATCTGTGATTCTGTGAACAACTCAATCTGCCTGCCTGCTTTGCCTGATTTTGTGTAAAAGTTGCACTTTTTTATAAAGAATTCAATATTTATATAAATATTTATAATATTTACATACAAGTTATGCCCAGCCAGTCACATGACCACCAAGCCACACCCACAAATTAGGCCACACCCACAGAACCAGTTAGTGGTCCATGGGATCTAAAATTATGAGTTTGGTGGTCCCTAAGGTCCAAAAGGTTGGCGACCCCTGGACTAGATGATCTACACAAGGTCCCTTCCAACTCTGATTATCTGTTATCTGTTAAATGTGGCCAGTGTTAATATCCATTTTTAAAAAGGAATGGAGACGAGATCAAGATAATTACAGGCTGACTAGCTTAAGTGTCTGTTTTTAAGCCAATTGATGGGGAAAATTTGCAGCATAGGGGGACATTGGTTCAGAGTGGTCCAAGAAATTGGAACATTGGGAAGAAGATTAGTCCCAGCAACTGGTGCTAGGAGATTGTTGTTAGGAATATAAGTCACCTAACAGTTATTTGGGTTGGAAATATATAAACCACAGATTCTGTAAGAAAGGAAAAAGACAGAATACTAGTAAACACCAGAAGGCTAAGAAGAATGTTAGTTTAGCTATGTCTAGCAATTCAACTGTAAACCATGATTTGTGGGCTGTTGATAGTGGAGCATCGCAGTGCATTACTAAAGATAGAGAAAGGTTTGTAAAGATGTCTACGAGTAAGCAACATGTGTCATTGGCAAATGGATGAAAGATGAACGCATCAGGTGAAGGTACTGCATATTGTTCTTGTATAAACAAATATTTAACTATGTTATATGTACCTAAACTGAAATTTAATTTGTTATCAGTAAGGGCTTTAGTTAATCTTGGTTATGTAGTAACCTTTAGGGGAGATAACTGTACAGTAGAGAAAGAGGGTAAAAGTGTTACTGCTACATTAGAGAATGATTTATATGCGATACATGATGACCAGTTGAAGATGGCTAACTCAGTTTATAACAATGTTAAGCCACATGATGAATGTATACATTTACTGTACAGACGTCTAGGGCACATTAATTTCAAAATGCTCAAACAAACTGTTGAATTGTCAGAGGGAGTAAAATTGAAACCCTGTAGCAAGTATTTAAACTGTAATGCTTGTAGCCAAGAGAAAAGTAAGGTTATTCCTGCAAACAGACTAAATGGGTTTAAGACCAAAGAACCTTTAGAGGTTGTTTTTGCTGATATAATTGGTCCTAAGAAACCAAGTTTAGGAGGTGCCTGCTATATTTTGAGTATTATGGACCATTACTCACGATACGGTTTCTGCTATCTTATAAAAAACAAAACAGAAACATTCCAACATTTCTCTAACTGGCTAAGGTTTGCTGAGAGAAAAATGAAAAGTAAAGTAATTACTTTAGTTACTGATAATGGGACTAAATTTGTTAACAAAAGATTCCAAACTATGTTGAAATTGGCTGATGTTGAGCATAAACGTTCTGCACCTTACAGACCACAACATAACTCGTTTGTAGAACGAAGAGGGCAAACATTACAAGCCATGACTCGCACTATGTTATCTGATTCAGGTTTACCTGAAACACTGTGCGGTGAGGCCATAATGTGTAGCAACCATGTGTTAACTATTGTAGTTTACGAAGATAACCAATCAGCAATACAGATGGCTTCAAATATTGATGTTAAGACAAGAACGAAACACACAGATTTAAGATATTTAAATGTGAGACAATGTGTGCAAAGTAAAATGATTAAGCTGGAATACTGTATGTCAGAAAACAATATAGCAGATCATTTTACAAAGGCTCAAGGCTCTACAAAGCATAAGGCTTGCTGTGAAGATTATGGACTTAGAATGTAAGGTTGTATATATTGTCCTACCCAAAAGGGGAGAATGTTAGGAATATAAGTCACCTAACAGTTATTTGGGTTGGAAATATATAAACCAGGATAGACATTTTAATACCGTATCTTTAAGAAAATGTAAAAATTGTAGTTGGGTGTGGTTTCTCAAACAGCCATAAGATGGGGCCAGAAACCTGGGTTGTCTTAGTCTTAGTCTCAGAAGAAGTCTCAGTGAATCTCTGTTTTCCTTCTGTTGGAGAGTTTTGCCATTCCTCCTAATTGTTATTTATGGATTTGATGTAAGTCTGATACTGAACTGTTTTTGACACTGGACTTTGTTATTGGATTATCCCTGGACTGAAAACTGACTGATTTAACCTGTGAATGACTTTGGACTGTGTTTTGAACTTTGCTTAATGTTTCTGAAAGTAAAAACCTACATTTACTGTACAGTGTATCTGTGTGCTGTATGTGTATTATTCAAACACTACTCTCAATATGTCTCCCTGTATGCGCTCATTCTCCTAACGGGGAATTATCTCAACAATTGTTGCTAAGAGGATGGAACATACAATAAAGAGCAATTGGAGAAAGGAGGAAGAAGAGGAAAATTGTGTCCTCTGCAGATCCAGATAATATTATTATTACTATTCCAATAAGAAGAAAGCAATGTGAGGGGCAGATTAAAAATGCTATGGATGTGCAGGAGCTTTTGACTAAGCTAAGAGTTAAAAGAAAAGTGTAGGAAATGGAAGATGAGTGAAATCATCAAGCAGAAATACCAGCAAGGGCCTCATACCTGGAAAAAAAGAGTCAGAAAAGCAAACATGCCAAAGGAATGTAGGTTAAAAGAGCAAAAAAAGGGGTATCTTGAGTTAAAAAAGAATTTAAACTGATTTTTAAAAAAATGTAAATGCTGCTCAGATAATATAGTAGGATATTTACAGGTGATGGGGATATATACTTTGGTTCAATCTTGCCCTGCAAGAGGAAGTATCTCCCAGGACCTCAAGGCAGAAACAACAAGAAAATATAAAGCAAAGAGTTGTAGATATGCAAAGAGACAGTAAACTGCCATAAATATGCCCCTAGGACCAAACCATTTGCATCCAAGAGTCTTGAAAGACCTTGAAAGATGCCATTTCAGGGTTCTGTTCCATGAACTCTGAAACTCAAAAAGGATGGGGATAGTTCCAGAGGACCAAGGAATGGGCAATGTTGTTCCTATCTTCAAAAAGGAGAAAAAAGAGGGCATGAGATCAGTTTGATATCGATACAATAGATTATTAAGCACATGGTTTATGTAATGCAAGCATTACTTGGCAGGCACCAGCATGGATTTATCACTTTTCTTTGATCTTAAAAGATTCAACCAGATTGCCGCCAGATTTTTATGAGGCAGAATGGCTCTGAGCGAGAGTGATGTGGATCTTGTGGGAGGAAAGAATTCAGCATATTGCTGATTTTTCCATAAAAAAGACACTGAGAGGCCACAGCTGCTAAAATTGAGAATATCAATAATGAATAAAGAAGAAATATAATTGTTAGGGAAGAGCAGAGCAGACCCAACTCTGATCCTTAAAAATAGGATTTTAATATATGAAACTTCACTGCTTTCTCTACGTGACTAGATTGTTCTCAGAGCTTTGTTTATCAGAATGTGTGACTTTTAGATATCACATGTTGTTTAAAGATAACATTATAAACCATCCAGAAGGACAAGTCTGTCTAGAAAACACTTGGATATGTTAAAAAAGCTTTTTTTTTTGAAGGCAGCCTTAGGAATAAGAGCAGCAATGATTGAGACTGGGTGGTTTTTTTAAATAAACAAATAAAGAAAACAGTTAAATAGTTATTTCAGTTGATGAAAACAAACAAAACCATAAAGAACTCAAAAACAGACTCCCCAAACTGGGGCTAAATTGATTCATGCATTTCATATAAACAAATATAAAGTGATGCACATGAAGTAAAGGAAACTCCACCTTTACATATATATTCTGGTGGAAAACCATCAAAAGCATGAGTTGCAGAGAGTGTAGAGCCACTCGTTTTTTCAACCTGTGCTCGTTCATCTCTTTGCTCACTACTTACTTTCCTTCGGATCCATAGCTGTTCATACTCTCCTCGATGGATTCGTGACTGGCTTGCCGGATAGTTCGACTTGGCATTTCAACGGCCAGTCCAGTTTCTGTACTCCGCTGGATAGCACCTTTGAGTTTCCGGCCATCTCCTTCTAAAGCAAAAGAGAGAGAGGGGAAGGGAAAGGGAGAAGAGAGAAAAAGAAAAGGTTAGTCATGTAGACATTAAGGGAAGAGTAATTAAACACTACCTGCTAACAGCATCCCTAAAACACCAACAGTTAGAAATCTGGAATTTGAAGCTAGCACAGGCATTATTTAATTAGAAGAAGATCTCTTTCAGATATACAGGTGTTCCTCGACTTATGACCACAACTGAGCCCAACATTTCTGTTGTGAAAGTGATACATTTGTTAAGTGAGTTTTGCTCCATTTTACGATTTTTCTTTTTTCTTTTTCTTTTAAACATTTTATTAAACAAAACAATTAAAACTATTGAACATGGTGAAGTCGGTTTGATGTGATTTTGGGTCAATATTGCGTATATATATGTTTTAATATAAATAATTATTCAACTATATACATATATACATTTGTTCGTTCATATAATACATTTCTAACGTCATTCATCTTCTTTTCATCTCATCCAATCATATACCCTTTCAACAACTCCTTTCCCAACTTAAGACCTTCCTCTCTGCTCCCAACAATGATAGAATTTATCCCAAATTGCGTAGCATGCCATCTTTGTTTTTCATTTCTAGAGTTAACTTATCCATTTCAGCGCATAGTAAGATTTTGTTTATTACTTCTTCTTCACTTGGTATAACTGTCTCTTTCCAGTTCTGGCCAAATGTTATCCTTGCTGCAGTAATAATATGTATAATCAAATAAAGCTCATCTTTCTTATATTTTTTGACATAATTCCTAATAGAAAGCATTCTGGTAGGTGATCTACTTTAAGACCCAACATTTCGAACTTCCGGTTTGCTAGCCTTCGGCGGCGGCAGGAATTTGCCACTGTGCGATCCCTGCTGCGTTCACCGCCAAGGTTCCCCCGATCCATTTGGATCTGGGGGATACAGCTGCCCTGTAGAGGCAGCAGAAGATAGGGGGGATCCGGCAAGGGGTTTGGGGGTGCCACAAACCCCTTCCCCAGCCGGCTAAACTCCCTTTTCCCGAGGCGGAGGAACGGCGGTCAGCAATGGCCGCCACGAAGAAAGCTGCAGCCGGGTAAGCAAGTGCAGGAGGGAGAAAGCTGAAAGAAAAGTGAAAGTTGCTTCTAACTGGGACAAGACGGGAGAAAGTGACTTGGAACCTTGAAAGCTGTTAAGTATCTATTGTTCCTTGCGAGAGTTACAAGCTGCGAATACCTTAAAGGGAAAAGTTTTTTTTTCTTTGTTCGACTCTCCTTCCTAAAGTGACAGCGGGAAAAAAAAATCTTTTTGGCTGTGAGTGGGAAGGGAGAGTGAAAAAAAAATCTGAGCAAAATTTGAAAATAAGGAGAAGATTGCCTAGAATTGCAAAGAGTTTAAAAACTTCCAAAAAATATATTTGAAAAGGATTTGTGATTACTTTAACCCCAGAAAGAGAAAGTCAAGAAGAAGAAGGTATCTAAAAGAAACAGTCTGTTTGGATTGTTTGGTGATTTTGGAACCTTTGGAAATTACTTCTGATTAAATCATCTGGGTGGTTGTTTGGAAAAACTTTTTCTCTACACAATGGCATCATCTATGGATGAATTGGAACTTATATATCAAAAATTTGAAAGAGAAAAACAAGGAGGGGAAGATGGACTTGGCACTATTTTCCAATACTTAGAAATGGCGGTTTATATTTATGTGAAGCAGAATGAGGATAATGGGGACAAAGAAGAAGAAGCCATCTTTGATGAGAAAAGGACTTTGATTGGAGAAGGGAAAAAGCGGAGGTCTTTAAGATTTGGGAAAACAGCCCAAAAAGAGAAGAATAAGGTGAAAAAGGGACATTATGTTAAGAAACAACAGAAAGGGGGAAAGCAGAATAAAAGGGAGGTGGGGAGACAAGGGGTTAAAGAGGACAAGGAGAAGAAGAAGCAAGGGAGAAAGGAAGGGATGAGAAGCCTTAATGGTGGGGAGCAAGATATTAAGAAGCAAAAGTTTTTCAGAGATAATGGATAAGTCTTATTGTTAATGGGATTCTAGAAAGGTACATAAGATTGTATTTTTATATCTGTATTTAGAAGTAATTATAGAAAATTAGAAATAATATGTAGTTTAAAATGTGATAAAATATTTAACATAAACAAGTGAAATTTTTGTTAAGAAAAAGGGAGTACTGTAATGAAATATGATTCAAGATTGTGATGTGGGGGGGTAATAATCGTGGAAAGCATAAGTGTTCCCACAAAGGGAATTTCAATTGAATTTCAATTGAAATGGATAAAATGTTTAAGATATAAATGATTGTTAATATTAATAATTAGAAGATGGTATATTAGCAAACCCTTTGTGAAATGAGATTTGAAGTAGAAGAAGGAGGAACATTTCAATGAAATATTGAGCTATAATATGTGATGTGGGGGGGGGGAATAATTTTGAAAAATAGGGCTCTCATAAAAGCATGTGATTTAATTGAAAAGTAATGAGTTAAACATCTAAGATATGAATGAATATCAATATTAATGAATAGATTTGTATTATTTTTGATAATATAGTATAATTTTAGAATGTACCAGACAGAATCCCAATGTATGTTATGTATTTTATATTAAGTACTATAAATATAGGGGAAAAAGATAAAGGCATCATACTCCATATAGTGTATAGGAGAAGTACTTCTTTTTTTTAAAGAAGAAAAATAAATGATTGGCTGGAATAGAACAGACAAAGAATAATAAATATTACGATATGAATTGAGAGGAGATAAAAAAATAAAATAAAATAAAATTGAGAAAATTTAAAGGAGAGAAGTTATATAGAAAATTGAAAATGTTAAGAAGATATGAAATGGTATGTAAAATGAATATGAAATTGAATTTGTGTCTGTACCAAGAGTTTTAACCCGGGATTAAGCAACTTTCAGAAAAGAGATTTTTTATATTTTTGTGTTTTGTGTTTATGTGTATTTATGTATTGTTTGTCTTGAAAAATAAAACTTGTTTTTTTTTTTTAAAAAAGACCCAACATTTCCTCCAGCCACTTCCCTGTCCTAAGCCAATACTCCTGCGCTTTATTGCAGCACCACCACGCATGGTAATACATTCCCCATTCTATTGAACTTTTCCAGCAATTTGGGGACTGACTTTTGAACATATTGGCCAGTCTGGCTGATGGAAGGTGCCATTGATAGAACATTTTGAGCAGATTTTCTTTATATGCAGTGGCCATGGGTTTTCTTGCCACAGTTGTTTAAGCGAATCATTACAGTTGTTAAGTGAATCTGACTTCCCATTGACTTTGCTTGTCAAAAGGCCACAAAAGGGGATTACATGGCTCTGGGACATAAATAAAGTTGTTAGTTGGCAAGCATCTGAATTTTGATCACGTGACCATAGGCATGTTGCAATGATTATAAGTGTGAAAAATGGTCATAAGTCACTTTTTTCAGTGCCATTGTAACTTTGAACGGTCACTAAATGAACAGTTGTATGCCAAGGACTATCTGTATTACCATAACACTTTTCAGCTTTTGTAGATTAAATTAAAAGAAGAACCTTTTTTTCTTTACCTCCCAACAACAAAACTTTGGCTCCAAATGCTGGTTCAGTTGAAATTACTACACCCTCTCACTTTTTTTTCACTTTTTCTGGGTTCTGTCTTGAGATTATATTGAAAAAATGTTTGTGTATTATATTTTTAAAAAATCAGTCCTGTCTGAAAAATGTCATTTTCAGTGCAAATAGCACAACCACCCATTTAAAATAATAAAACATCGCTGATCAAGTGCAATCAAGAAGAGATCGGATGCAACCAGAAAGAGTGTGTGGTAAGGCTCGGATGTTTGCTCCCGAGAAAAGACCAGCTCTTGGCATGGCAAACCATTAAATGAATGATATACAGAGCTACCAGTTGATGCATTATTCATTTATTTAGCATGTGGCAATGGTACATGAGCCAGGAGACTCCTGTATTACTACAAAGTAGTTGTTTGGCTACCTAAGATTGCTAGTCTGTTCAATTCATGCTTGCACAATATCCTGTTCTGACCCAAACCCTTTTCCAATAAAACAAACATGAACCAAAGGGAACAGAAACCTTTTAATGATTCTTACGAATCCCCAGTTAAAAGGCTGCTGCAAACTAATTAACTTTGATAAGCACGAGCCTCACCAAAACTGTGCGAGGCTGCCAAGAATAACAGATAAAGTTACCTAGAAATATTTTACAACACAAGAGTCTTCAAATACCAACTAAGATACTGCAATGTCCATGAGGCTCGAGTTTCAAAACGTCTTTGCTTCCTGCAAAGAATGTCCAATTCACAGCTGGCTTTTATCTTCTTGAAGAAAGGCCCATTACCTTACAGCCTTACTCCCAAGTCGCCTGTGCTGCTGAAGCTGCTCTTTCCTGAGAGCAGCCCTGAGCATACACGGACTTGGCACAGGCTCCTTGGGAACCTCCTCATTGCTGCTGCCAGCCCCCACAATCTCTGAAGGCAGCAGTCCACTCCCTAATGGTGCTGGCTCCTCATTTGAGTCCTCGCCCTCCTCAGCCATCCGCACCTGCAGCCAGCTAACCACAACATATCCAGAAGAGTACTATAAAGGGTGAACTAGCTCTGCACTCAGAATGCTAACAGCGTTCTGCAGCATCATTCAGGGCTTTCTTCCTCCATTGATGTTGCCTCATTTTCAGGTGGCACATTTGGGCAGGTCTGGCACCAGTTGGGTTTGTACTAATGCATGAAGTGCCATTATTTCCCCACCAAAGTGGTACCTATTTACCTACTTGCATGTAGCATGATTTTGAACTGCTAGGTTGGCAGAAGCCAAGACAAGTGACATTAGTTCACCCCATCACCTGGCGCTAGAACTCGAATTACGAGAGCACAGGCCTTCTCAAATGTCTTTAAGCTACTGAGCTACCACACCTCTAACCAGTTGATGCAACATCAATTTTTTTGCAGGCTGAAAGACCAGTTTTTGAAATCTTCCATACTAAGACTTAGATAACAA